GCATTCCTGTGAAAGTCCTGTCAACACTCTTTGTGCTTCTCAATATGTTAAAACTCCTTGGTCTAAGTTCAACCTTCCTTAAACAATACAGCAGCTAAAAGAAAGCTTTAGCATCTGAGAACTGGAGTGCTGAAGTATGGAAGTTTGTTTATAAAAAAATGAAAATAAATGGCAAGGTGTTAAGAAGAGAATTTATTTGGTCAACAAAAGGAAACTCAAACAAAACACTGAATTTCTGACACAACCCACCAAAAACAAGAGTGAAGACAAACACAGGACTGTTCATAACCCTCTTCCCTCTCCTGTCTGACGCTAGTTTTTCAGATTAATCACACCAGTAATAAGTCTTAGAGACCAGGAGCTTTTAATCTCCATCTCATCAGCTCTAAAGTGAATTAGGTGGAACTGAAATTAAAATGCTGCTTTGAAAAAACATAGTAACTACTAGTAAAACCAAAGATATTCCAAACTGCACCACAGACCCACTTTGGTGCTGCTGGCTGCTGAAGAGGGAGCAGCAACTGCTGGTATTACAAACTATACTTGCTACAAAGATACACCAGACACAGTGGGCATGAACTCAAGTCAGAATTTTAGTTGTGACCTTCCCTCTGTTGCCAGAAAGGCACATGAATGTTTGTCACAATTAAAACAGCTTAAGGTTCCTTTGCCGTGGCACAGAAATGCTGCTTAATACAAACTACAGCCCTTAAGCGCACAATGATACGTAGCCATAGTGCTTTCACAGAAAGCCCCTGGAAGTGTTCAGGGTACCATTTTCTAAGGAGTCTCCAGTATTGAGGGGCAAACTCTGCCTCTCTTACACAGAACACTTGTGTGCCTCACTCCGCCCAGTCAGCTATTAGTGGGGCAAGCACAACTGACCCAAAGTAAAGTGTGACAGAAGTGGAGCCAAGCAGCCTGTGCAGACAGATGAGTACACACAGAAGCACATCTAACTTGCTTATGTTTAAGCTCTGTGCATGTAATATGCAGGTGGGCGCTGGAAAGCTGCATCTAAAATAAACATAGCCCTCTGGGCTACATGGCTTCCACACCTCCATATACAGCGTACAGATGTATCCTTAGTCTATCAAACTAATAAGTCAACCACTGTAGGCACTGGACCCAAGAATGCTTTGTCCTCCCAAGTTTTTCACCTGCTAAACAGATCTCTAACAGACAGGGCCACATCAGGCTTCTCCCCCACTTCCCTCACCTCCTTCATTAAAAGATTTTTCTGTATAATGTTGCTTTAGAGTCAAACTCCTGCCAGACAAGTATCAGTCTGCAAGAAAAACTTCCTGCTTTATTATAAACCTTTGAATAATAATTCAAATGGCTGGGCTACAGTAATTTGATATTTTGTATCTTGGCCAGTGGGCTCCTGGTTCTCAAAAAAATCCAAGATTAGCAGACATAACACTAGAAGCTGTGCTGTGTTAAACATGATCCAAATGCTATTATGTTAAATAAGACTAAAAAATGAGCTCACTCAATTTCCTAAATGGGAAGAGCAGACAATTCGTATAGCCTTTTTCTTTTTCTCATCACTTTAAGTTTTCCCAGTTCACTGAGTGTAGACATTGTTATGTTTCTTGCAAGCATGGTCAAGGCAGGTGGGTATCAAATGAGTGAAACTATAGACAGGTTTAATATTATTGTCCCTCCTGTTACTACTTCACAACTGTATGTAGGTAGACTGTGACCATCACTGACAGTCAGTGTAAAAGAAACGCAGGGCAAAGAAACATGCTGCCCTTGCTGGCCTCTGCCCCAAAGCCCAACCAAAACCAAAATTTGCAGTTTGTTCTTTCAGCAGCACAACCTGACTGAGGCATCCATCCCTACAGTTCTGTGCCAGGTCAGAGCACAGTCCAGGTACTTAGAGCTTAAGGGGAATAATGGGCCAGTATTTGGGCTGCTTTTTGTCACAGTTTCTATCAAAGATCAGCTGCATGGCAGCCTCCATTGCCTGGATTTTGGCAGCTTCAGCACCATACAGTTTCTTCATTTCTGCCATTCGCCTCTCCCCAGGTCTTTCTGCAGGCGGCTGCACAGAACGCCCCGTCCTCTTGTGAAGGTCTTGATCAGCCTCCACATACTGGTGCTCAGCTTCCAGCTCCTGCTGTCTCCCTAGACAAATAAACCATAAGAGATGTAAAGTACTGAGCTATCAACCAACCACATTTTATTTTAACTTTTTAAATATTACATATTCAAATTTGTGCTAGGTCTAGAGGGCTGAGATCCACACATTCTAGGGTACAGCCAACGCCTGCAACTTACAAATCACATATTACTTATCTTGCTGTGCTCATTATGCATAATAAAAATTCCTACTAAACAGCATGATAAAGCCAGGCTGGAAGAAGTGGGGAGAAGGGAAGATGATCCTGGAATTGAATCCTAAAACTGTAGAAAAACCCTGTATTAGTAATAACCAGTGAAAATCAGCATTGCTTTATTTCTCCCCAACATACACATGCCCTGAAAAGGAAAAATATTACCCCCCGCCCAAGCCCCCCCACAAAAAAAAACAAAGAAGAAAGTTGTGTCCAAAGTAATGACTTAGCAGCTGAGATAGTGAAACAATTCACAGGACAATGCAACTTTAGCTGAACCATAGCCAAGAGAAAATGTAATCAGTTACTACTCTATGAAAATGAACAAATCGGTCTGTCATGTAAGTGTCTGCCATCAAGTGCATCCAATGCAATACAGCTGTAAGCACTAAGTTTAGATAAACTAGCCAACCTCATCCATTTCTCACGGCTTGCAAAGTTCAAAACTGACAGCCTTACTGCTATTGCTTTAAAGACAAAACAAAACAGCACCCAACATAAATCCCTACACTGCATCATTTAAAGAGGATTTAAAACAGTTCAGAGAAGCGAAACATTTGGACCAATTTGTCATCAAAATTCTCTTTGCTAAGTTCAATTGGGAGTCACGAACTTGATTTAGCATGACCAAAATTACCCCCACTTCCTGGGTGCTGCTCTGATGGATATTAATACTCTGCAGTTAAAACAGTGAAGCGCTATACAAGACTCTCCTCTTACAGGGACACTTCTACAAAATGAAAATCATCTGGCAGTTGTTGAACCCCTTCACCTACCAATAACGAATGATGGTTCTCAAAACCACATCACAGAAACAGTTCACTACTAATAAGGGCACTTTTTTTTTTTTTTTTTAACATCAAAAGGGACAGAGTGTCCACAAGTCAGGATGCAATAGTCACATACAGGACATGCTTCTCAATGTTCGGTGCCATATACCTCTTCCCTCCTTCCCCTAAGGCAGAGATTTAGCTTCCACAAAACACATGACATCTGCAAACCCTAACCCAACATTAAGTATCCTGACATATCTGTGCCCAACATCTGCAGTTTATTTTTACACTGGAAAGTACTGTACAGAGCAGCCAACTGTCTGTCTGTCAGCTTTACTAAATTAATTATCCCCTGTACCTCATTCACAGAAAACAGATATTGTAAACAGGATAGCCAGAAACTTCAATTCTAGCATCTGTTTGACAGGGACACAAAGTTTTTGTTCTGTCATTTCAAACAGCATCCAGTTTATATGTTGATAGTTGAAGGACAGCAGTGCTTCGGGGGTTATTAGCAATCTATTCCAGAGAGACATTTCACTTTCTGTGATTTTGCTTTATGGGCACACCCCTGAAGTGGGCTGCACTGCCAGAACTCATGAGGAAACATACATTAGCATCCATATGTGTTTTCGGAAGAAGCAGATTTATTTGGTGTCAGGCCATTTTAACCAGAAGGTCTGAATTAAAAGAACTAAAATTGCCTACAGAATGCCCAGCACTATGAGGACAGGTTACAGCACCCAGGCTGTGACTACACAGGTCACTTACATCCCACTGAAACAAATTTCCTGGGACATCAAACTGACCACAACTAGGTAACATGCTTTTAAGAATGAACTTGATGCAAGTTACACTGAATAGTATTAGACAGAAAACAAAAATCTATGCTGGAAAACCAAGGTCTCCCACTGCAGGTTACACAGCAAAACTCTGGCAAGGCAATGAATTGAACCCATATTTGTTGACTCTCTTGGGACACAGAGATAATTCCTTGTACTGTACTGTCCATGGAAATTTTTTTATTCATTAGCCCCATAGCTGCATGCTAGAGACAGCTGCTTCCTCACTTGCTTGCCACAGAATGCTCTGATAACTCATTGCACACAGTAACACTTAAGAAAAATTAATTTCTCTGGAGATAGATAATGAATTCTTCAGTTTGGAAATTAAATGGGTCTCTAGCAGAAGCTTTATGATGGATGAGTGGATTACAGTTTAGTGCGCATCACTCTCCATTTTGTAGCACAGAGTAGTTAATAAAGCCACAAATCCTACTGTTAACAATTAAAATAATAATATCAATTTAAATTCCATTCTCAAAATTACCTAATGAATGTCTGGAGCATATGTTTTACTTTACACTAATCAGATGTACTGCCCTTAACTTTCCAACATGACTTTTACTATTCCATAGCTACTAGTTAAAAAATTCCCAGACCTACTTCTATTACAGTCTCAGATACGTAGATCAACTCTACAGAGTCCAGGCAGAGGTTGGGGACAGAAATCTGCTACAGGGACCCACAGTTTTTTGTACCAAAGGCTGAATTTGAACATAGAAGATGTCAGCTGTTGCTGGTAATACTGCTGTAGCTGTGTGGAATATGTTGCCATTTCAAATCACTTATTTGTGGAGAGATACTACCATGACAAACTCCACCATGAATGACAGCACTATTTGCTTGACATGGACAATCAAGGAAAGAGAAGCCATGGAAACAAATGGGTATATAAACTACGGCTTCTCCAAAAGCAGTATTTCCAGCCAAACATAGAGATAAAAAGTAGATGACAGCAGACCAAGTTTTGTCCTGTTGAGATGCATGCTAAGCTTTCTTTGGTGGGGCAGGGCCTTGGAAGTAGAACTGCTCTTATTTCTAGTTTGGGTTCTTTTCACTAATTCAAAATTCATTTAAAAACAATAAAAAGCATTGCAACTTGAGCTAAACATGCAACCACCTCTTAATCAAAAACATGACAACAAGCATCAGATGATGGAAAAAACAAAAAAAGAATTATAAACTGTCTATAGCCCTAAACCTATAGAGGCAACCATAATCTCTCTGAAGCAAGCACCAAATATTCATCCATGAATTAGGTAGTAAAGTTTTTCAAAACACTCGTTCTCAGCCTCCAGCAAAGAAATAAGTCCCCAGCTCATTCTCAAATCAGAGTTTCACACTACAAATTCATAAGTCATTGTGCTGCCAAGTCATAAGTGAGAAACAAGTAATTTTTACACAATTCTACGTAGTTCTTCCTTCCACTTCACACAGGCTAAAATAAATGTGCTTTCTTCTACAACATTCTGTTTCAACTACTGGCAAGCTTCCCCCAGTTGTGGAACAGTATTTTGCAAATGACACAAGGCAGGCAGGCAGCTGCAGTGGTCGTTAGTTCCTGCACAAAGGAAAAGCATGGCTGACATTTTCCTAATTGGTCAGCTCTATTTCTTCCCAAAGATGCTCTTCCTCTCTTGAAGCTCTCTTCAGAACTAACTTGTTCCTAACAAGTCCAGTTCTGCTGGGAAGTCATCATTACCTGGCCAAAACCTGTTGAGACATCTTTTTTCAAACACAGTAGCCTTTTTTCTTAATCTTTAAGGAATACTGAGATCTCTTCCTAACTCAGACTGCATTCTGGGATATCATCAGTGATTCCAGGCCTTCTGAAAGAAAGTTTTATGCTGCTGTTTCCCCTCCACCCTCTTCCCACCTTTCATGGATGACTTTTAATCTGGGGTACACTAGCTGAAAAGAAAAGTGAACAAATATAGACAACTACTTCCATCCTCAGGGACTGCCAAAAGCAGGATAAACAATAACTAGTATCTTAGCTATTCACTGCATTTGGGGCTTCATATGCACACAAATGCCCTCTTACATACTTTCAGCAAAACTATGACCTAAACCCATCAAGATGTAAGCCATTTTCCCCACAGGCCATTAGCAACTCAGATGTCTTGTTTCTCTTATTTTATAAAGGACAAGGTCGTATACTTTCCGTAAATTTAATCCACTTTGCTCTTCCTTCTTTGTAATATCCTTTGAGAAGCTTAAGTAGTAATTAAAAAAAAAAAATCTCTGGTATTCATCCCTTCCTTATTAAAAGAAAAAAAAACACCAAGGAAAAAACCAACCTCAAAACCAAAACCCAAATAAATTCCCTTATTTGGAATGAAGTCTCCATGGAGAGACTTTTCAACATTAAAAAGAGATAAAATTAAGGAGGGTAATTATATGTGTTGGATTTTTAATGACAGATTAATACCCAACATTGTGTGGTGTCTTGTACCATTTTTAGCTCTTAGTATTTATACATCCAACCCTTATCTCACTGTAGTCAGTGATCATATGCAGTCTGACAAGGTTTCTTTTTACAGGCACCCTTCTTGACAGTTCTCTAGGTGCACACGCTGTGCAGTCTGCCACGTCCCTGCCCCACACAATGGTAGTTACGACAAGAGACTAAGGCCTTGCTCCCCATAAGTGTCAAATGGCCTTTACTGGCTTTCAGTTTCTTGCTTAGTTAGCGCATTATTCTTCAATGAAACATTGCACTTTCCCCAGCCTTGATCAGTTTTTTCTTTCCATGATTTCAGACTGACCTATACCCCTGTTCACATATTTGCCTGCTTATTTCAAATGATGAATGATTTTCTGTTACTGCTGCATGGGCGCTTTCTGAGCTTTCTCATCTTTTCTTAAATGCTGCCTGAGCTGATCTTGAGCAGCCCACACTATCAGAGTTAAAAACACTACCCATTTCTACTGATTAAAAACTCCGAGTTCTCCCTTTGAATGCCACTTCCCACAAGCCTATCTGCTGTGTTAAATATTCTGCCCACACAGGCTTCTCAATGCAAAATGCCAGCTTCTTCATCTCCTTAAAAAAGCTAAGTACCTTTTCCATAAACTTACATAGGAGTTTGTCTGAAGTGATAGCATCAGATCATTTTATTATGCCTGTACTTGCATGAAACAGGCACATCATGGGGAAAACCAAAATCTTTGCC